CGGTTGAAAATTTCGGTATTTCAGAAACCAAAATTTCGCATTATTCGAAATTTTAAACTATGATTGGAACGTTTACGAGAGGATGTGTGATAGATTGGACTGAATAATTGTTGACAGAACTTTCAAAAGAAACCCACAAAAGGAAAATTAACACTCAAAACAAGTGATGAAAAAAGAAAGCCAAGATTATGTTTTGATTTGAATCAAAATCAAGGATTTGATGCCCAACACCTCAGCGACACGTCATCTCTAACTATTCGAGATGCCGAGAAGAATCGGAAGAAATTATTGTCCCAAACCATAACGTAGACGGGGCAACCATGTTGGCTGAGTGCTGAGTGCCGAGTGCTGACTAAATAACGAACGCCTTCGATGTAACCAAACAATGGGGGAATTTCGTCAAACACCTTTCTTGTCACTGTAAGTGCATAATCTTCAATTTTTCTCCCTCTTTCTGACTTCTGAAATCATGCAGTTCTAGAGTTTTGTATATTTTTCTCTTCCACGCAAAACCCATATTTCTATTTTTCAATCTGTGTTAGTTTTACTCCACCCCTTCAAAGATCATACCTTTGATATATTGTTTTGTTCTTCACTCTTCCAAGCTAAAACATGGATAGAATTAGCTTTTTGCCAGACGCACTTCGACTTCGAATATTAGAATTTCTACCAATAGAAGATGCAATTGCAACTGGGGTTCTCTCAAAAAGATGGGAAAACTTGTGGTGTTCACTTACTATTATCAATTTTCATCAACCCACTTTTGAAAGAAGGTCAAGGGGAAAAAGGGATTTCAAGGATTTTGTTTATCAAACACTTGTTCTTCGAGATGGTTCACATATTGATAAGTTCACTCTTTCTGTTGATCTTGATGATTTATCTACTATTCATGTTAATTCGTGGATATCCTTTGTTGTGAATCGTGGTGTTAAAGAATTTCATCTTAGTGTTTTGTATGGAAAACTAAATAGAAAGCTTCATTGGTGTTTATTTACTTGCAAATCGCTAAGAGTTTTGACATTGGATAATGTTGATCTTGTACTTCCTTCAAACATGGGATTTCCAAGACTCGAAACTTTGAAACTCATGGAAGTTAAGTTTTATGATGAAAACTTGACTAATCAGCTGTTTTCTAGCTGTCCAAGTCTTGTAGAATTGTTCATCTCCAATTGTGACTTGAACAATGTCCGTGTACTTCGAATCATAGGTAGTAAACTAAAGTTCCTGGTGATGTTATGTTCGTATCCTATTCCTGATGTCGAAATTACTGCTAGTTGTCTCCATGAATTGGAATATTTTGGTTATCCACCAATTATTAGTTCAGAGACCCTTTCCTCATTGTTAAGAGTGGGTCTTCGAATTGTTTCACTCAGTAGTATCATTAATGCACGCAGAGATATGTTCTATCGCCGTGCAAGTGATATCATGATGGGGCTGCATAATGTAGTCGAAATGGCTTTACAGGGATTCTTCATTGAGGTAAGATGCTTATTCTTTTTTATTGTATGAGAAAGTCCTCTTAATTTCAATCATTGATATGTCATACTTATTAAAAATATATGCTCAGTTTCTTACCAGGGTTCAAGATTCATTAGCATGCCTGCCTACTTACGATAGTCTTGAACATTTGCATCTTGATATGTATCCTACCAAAAACCAAGTTCAAGTGATAATCTTGTTATTAAGAAATTTTCCCAACTTGAAACATCTACGCATTCAGGTACTTTTAGGATAAAAAATTTCAATCAATGATGTTTACATTTATCAAAATTAAATTGGTCTTTTAACCCACCAACTGCTACCTTTGATAAGGTTCAACAACATATGCCCGCAGTCAGGCTCAACATGGATGAAGGTTGCCGATCACTAGAATTGTCGTCTGAGTATTCACTGAAGCATTTGAAAAAAGTTGATATTGAATCTTTTGAAGGAACCCAGAAAGAATTGGATCTCGTGAGATTTTTACTTGAAAATGCGGATGCCATTGAGAAACTGAATATTGTATACACTTCCCAAGAGATGGTCGACTTTTTGAGCCAGGTGAGTGTTCAAGAAAAGATAGAGTCGTTCAGCAAAGCTTCTTCCAATGTAGTAGTATCAATATCTTAAGAACAGCGTAGGTTATCTTGTATTGGTCATGCTGTAGTGTATTTTGGCAGTTGCGTACCATTTCAGTAGATCTATCTTTGTTAGAGATCTGGAAATCACAGAAGAGATTAAAAGGAGAGTTATTTGTATTTTTTAACAAGTTGAACCTAATATGTTTTGAAAGTTTTCTGTTTTAGCTTTGGGAGCTTACTGAAATTACCCGATTACAGTTCTTTCTGCTTCATAAGGCTTTGAGCATAGTCCTTTCGACTTCAGTCTATTAAGTGTAATATAATCAATTTAGAAGGTGAAATATTCCCAATTGAAACGATGATCTTCTGTATATGATACATTCCAAATTGATACGATGAATGTTTGTGCCCGCATTTTGTTTTAAAATGATGAAATTTTGTTGGGGTTGTCATGCTAGTTGACTGCCTGGCACTGAATGATGCATAGATACATCTCTACTAAGTGATGAATTGAACTCTAAACTTCCAAGTTTGAGTGTCTGGACTCTAACCTTGAGCCATTAATACAGTTATCAATTAATATGAACATCCATGAGTTAATATGTACAATTGCTAGTCTGACAGCAGTTTTGTCAGCAAAGCAGCACAGGACATGATTAAACAAAATGATGAAAACCAAAACTGAAAGAGTTGCTTGTTGTCTGAGCCAATTTCTATCCTATAAGTCTCATAAGCAAGCGGCACATTAGTAAGAAGCCAATTTCATTCTGTAGAAATTTCCTGACAATCAGGATTTTTTCTCAAAAAATTGTACTACTGTACATAGATTAATGAATATTCTTTGACTTGAATTATCTGTTTCCAAAGGTTCTTATTCGGTAGAGGGTCTTAAATCAATGCCTTCCGAAAACAAGATTTCCAGCTTCTTCATATTAGAAGATGTTACATATATATGACAGGAAAGCTGAAAGCCTTCTGTTTGATTCATATTATATTTTAATTGACAGTATAATCCATACCAAGCTTGTCAGACGTTAATAGTTAGTCCCACATCGGGTAAACAACATTTTTGATATGGCTATTTGAACAAAGAAACGAGTGTATATGGTACGACCTTACTTGAACAGGATCTGTTCTATAGGGAAGTACCTCTGTATCCTTGAGTAAAAAGGAGACGGTAACCAAAGCTTGGTTGATGAACCAGGACCGTGTGATCAGAGCGTGATTGATGGCTGAGATTCAAGCTGTGAATCTTCTGGCTATAGAGGATCGTTCTCAGCTGCCTTGGTGGCTGAGATGGTCACACGGTTGTCTGACAGGCTCAAAAACTTTTTTTTTCTGTTCT